ACCAATTTTATCGAATTCCAATAACAAATCGACCTCCAAATCTTAAATTTAAACCAAGGGTTTTCTAAATTTTTCAACCCAATTCACTAATTTAGTGATAAAAACAACAATAGATTTATGTAATTTAACCTAAATCAAGTTAGGAATTCTTACCGCAATATTTTTCTTGAAAAACTTTCGAAAACTTGCCTCACCCGAGCTTTCTTGGTCCAAAAATGTAAGAATGATACGAATTTGGACTTTATTCTGCTGCCCAGGGATTTGTTCTTCGCGTTCGCGAGACTCCCCTCGCGTTCGCGATGAACAAATTCTTCAAAAGTCATATTCGAACTCTTCTCAGACAGCCTATAGTATAATGGTCATAACGTTTTGTACAGACCTCTAAATGATGAATGGTTTGACTTTCTGAAAACTAGACTATAAGGACTATAACTTTCATTTGTTTCTCATCTCCCAATCCCTTATAGATTACGAGATATAAGCTTCCAAAGTCAGCCCTGTGCAACAGAGATTTCCAAACTCTTTCCGGACAGCCTATAGTGCATCCACCATAACGTTTTGTACACAACTCCAAATGATAAATGGTTTACCTTTCTGAAAACTAGACACAAAGGGATACAACTTTCATTTTTTGGATCATCTTCAAATTCCTTATAGATTGGGAGATATGAGCCTCTAAAGTCAGACGACGAACAGCAAAATTTCCTTCTTCGCGAACGCGAGAACCTTTTCGCGAACGCGAAGAACAAAGTCCTAACAACAAAATCCTTCTTCGCGAACGCGAGAGGCTCCTCGCGAATGCGAAGAACAACACCAGAACCAGCAACCAGCAGCATCAAAACACCCAAACTTGGTCCGGAACCACCCCGAATCAAACCCGAGGCCCCTGGGACCCTGTCAAATCGTACCAACCAGTCTCAATACATAACACGAACCTGCTCGAGGCCTCAAATCACATCAAATAACATCAAAGCCACGAATTGTACCACAATTCAAGCCTAATGAAGTTTGAAATTTTAAATTTTATATCTTGTGCCGAAACACATCAAATCAATCTGGAATGACTATAAATTTTGCACACAAGTCATAATTGACATAATGAAGCTATTCCAATTTTCAGAATCGAATTTCGGCCTCGATATCAAAAAGTCAACCTCCCGGTCAAACTTCCCAAATATTCATCTTTCGCTATTTCAAGCCAAATTCCTCTACGGACCTCCAAATAATTTTTCGGGCACGCTCCTAAGTCCATAATCACCATACTGAGATATTGACATCATCAAAATTCCATTCCGGAGTCCTCTTCACACAGTTCCGACTACGGTAAAAATCCTAAGACTTACGCTTCCGTTTTGGGGACCAAGTGTCCCAAATCACTCCAAATCATATGGTAACTGAATTCAACCACGCACACAAGACAATACACATAATAAGAAGCTGCACAGGGCCTTATGCCGCCAGGCGGGGCTTAAATTCTTGAAACGACAAGTCGGGTCATTACACTCTGATATATAGAGACATTGAGGATAAATTATTAGAAGCTTGTGACTTATTTCTACCAGATTTTGGGAGTTGAAATTATTTGAATTGCAGTTTCACTTATTTCAGATTTCTATTATGTTATTCTGCATTGATAGGCTTATCTAGTCTTAGAGACTAGGTGCCATCACGACATCCTACAGAGGTAATTTGGGGTCGTGACACACATTAACCAGTATCATAATTTTTTCATGCATGACGTTATTGTCAAAACTTCTATATACCATCCGTGTGTTGTTACATAAGCTATTCGACGTATCTACGTTTTTCAGTAAAATGGCATACATATATTTCTTCAAAATTAACCTATATACAATGTAATATCAATTTTAACTTAGTCTATTATATATACGGTGACACTAACATATATAAGAAATAAGAAACTTGACAACAAACATGTATGGTAGAAGGCCATTTGGTTTTAAAGTATTTAAGTATTTTTCTTGGTGGTAATTATTGGTATCATTTTCTACTGAGTGAAAAACTAAAAAATATTTTATTTTTACTATAAAATTTTGCAATCAACTTTTTATTTAGTCGATCAACATATTCATTCCTTCTAACTAAGATATCTTTTTTATTCTATCATGTGATTTGCACAAATTACGTTTTTAATCTAATGATAGAAATATTTCTCTTATTAAATGCACTACTATTACCATTGGGTTTGATAACCAAGTATTGAGGAAGAACCAAATCATCTTTTATTGGATACTCTTCTTCGTTTCCGACACGAAGCAAGAAGATACTGAAAACTGGATTTGTTCTTATTTTATATTTCTTGTTAGTTGAATCTTTTTCGTTTGAGGCCAGAAGTATTATTTTGGCAAGATAGCTTTTACAGTCTCTGGTTTTGTCGATTTTGGAACTACTAGTAGTGCTTGAGTGAAATCACCTCCCAAACCATTAATTTTTTATCAAACGGTTCATTAATATCCAATATAGCTTTAGAACTCCGGGAAATTATTTCGATCGTTTGACACTTATAAATGCTTCATCTCATATTATCAATTTTGTTTTCCTTATAAATTTAGCACCATTGCTCTGCTTTGATATATTTGTGATGGTTATTTAAGTTGTTTGAAGAGGTATATCAAATCTAAAGTGGGTGGCCTTACAATAAAATCGTTGTTGGTACACCACTTGCTATTATTGCTAACAGAGCCATGCCTCTTGATATGATATTTGCAAGTAATGCATAACATAGAAATATTATTTCGATTTCGTCGGAGGCATCTACAAAAAATAATCACGTTATACCATAGTCGACTCTTTATAATATAGTCTTGAAAGCTTATTCTTGTTTAGGATTTAGCTTTGATTGTACTTCCTCAGATACTTGTATAGCATTTTGATTCTTAATAATATACTAATATTTTTACTTTGTGTTCTAACGTTCTATTTATGGAATAAATTTATGTACCCTAAGAGTTTTTTTTAACTTGAATAAGAATTTTACTCATATGATAAATTTAAAAAATAATTGAATTGGATTCTCTTGTAAAATAATTAATTAAAAAATTTAATTATTTAGTTTTAACATAAAAAATAATTTATTCTATATTGATTCAGATCTTAATATTAGTTCATCTCTTGTTTTGAATATTTAATCTTAATTATAATTTTATCCACCATAAATTTTATTTTCAAAGAGTAAAAGATTGATATGACATTTCACTTTTAGATCTTTATGTTTGTAGAATCATTAGTGGTATTGACTCTTACCAACTATTTTTTTTCTCTTTCTCACACATTTATATTCTTAAATATTTTCTTAGTTGTTGTTTAATAATTGGGTATTTTTCAATATTACACGAAAAAGTGATTAAAAAATATTATTTGAGTAGGAAAATAGTTCAAATATAACATACAATATATATTATCGTGGGGGTAATTTTTTCTTTTCAATTTCAACTCTTTATGCAGTCCATTTAATGTTACATTTATTTTTTCTTCGTATTGGACATTATGGAGTGGTAATGTATTGCCAATACGAAGGATTCTAATGAAATTGATTTTATTAAATCTTCCTACATATTTTTAATAAGAATTTAACAAATAAAATTTTATTAATTTTAAAATCTTAAATATTAAAAATTAGCATAGAAGGTATTATAGTCCAAAAAATAGCTTATTGCAGTTATGTCATTTCCCTATGAGTTCTTCCGTTTAATATTTTAGGGCTATTTTGATATATTAATATTGTATTTATTCTTTTATAATAATATAGACTCTCATTTTTCTAAATTGATTTGGACAAAATAATATATTCTCAAATTAAATTAGTAAGAATATTATAATACGTTTTCAAATTAAATTAGTAATAGGAATTTTTAAGAAGTATATCCTAAAAGTAATAGGATTACACGACTAAAGATATTTACTTGTTCAATTTTATATGAATTTGACAGCCCGAAAGTAATTATACTAATAGTATTCCTAACGTGTAGTATTATGTCCTAAAACTAATAGGATTATAAAGCTAATATCTATAGTTTCGGTTATTTCCTTTTATTATGAGATATTATGCTTAATATTATAAGATTATTTTTGTAAACCGACATTGTATTCATGCTTTTATAATTAATAGGCCAAATACATATGTAGGCCCTCAAACTTTGTCCCTTTTTGTCACTTGGACACCTAAACATAGGGTTGTTCCTATCAGGCACTACAACTAAATCACATATGTGCCAATTAAACACTATCACAGGAAAGGGTGCGTGAACATGAGAAAAATTTGTTGATTTATTATTATTATTATTATTATTATTATTATTATTATACTCCATATTATGATTATTTTATATATCCTAATATATTATTCCTATTAAAGCCAGATCGTCATTTATTTTCTTGGCAAAATCGAAGGCAAAGTTGCTTGCAATTTTTTAAGGTGGTATGACCATGAAATTCTTAAGAAACCTAAGAGGGCAAGCAACTTTGCCTTCGATTTTGCCAAGAAAAAAAATGACGATCTGGCTTTAATAGAAATAATATATTATGATATATAAAATAATCATAATATGGAGTATAATAATAATAATAATAATAATAATAATAATAATAATAATAATAATAATAATAATAAATCAACAAGTTTTTCTCATGTTCACGCGCCCTTTCCCTTGACAGTGTTTAATTGACACATATGTGATTTAGTTGGAGTGCCTGGTAGAACAACCCTATATTTAGGTGTCCAAGTGACAAAAAGGGACAAGTTTGAGAGCCTACATATGTATTTGGCCTAATTAATATAGATAGATATAAATATCAAAATGCGATTCTTTCTAACGGACTGCCAAAGCAAGACCAATGATGTTTATTGCGTGATAAATCCATCAAATAAAACCATGTCTAAAATTCATGCAATCCTAACTTAAGCGAAAGAAGAAAAAGTAATACAGAACGGAGAACAAAGAAAGTTAATTTGTATTTCTATTTTCCACAAAGAAACAAACACCACAAACAACTATAAATATCATATTGAACTAAACAAGTCTTGATTTCAACGAGATAGTGCTATATTCACAGGTATTGATTCTCAGAAATCCACCTCTCCACTATAATTCTATAAATTCAAAGTGTACTTGTTCTGTTTTTTATTTTTATTTTTTCCCCACTCCCCAAACCCCAATCCCCGACCCCGAAAAGAAAACCATGGTAATAGCTCCAATAGAAATAGAAAACATCTGTTGCACATTTTAAGGACTTGATTTACCCCTGCAATGAAAAGTAGTAGCAATAAGAATAATGTCAGTACAATTTTTTCCCCTGTACAAATCGACAATTCAAATGCAAAACATCATTAAAAAGCAAATAGAAGTAAATTAATGTAATGACTGTAATTACCCGTTCGTGTTTCTTGGATTGTTTTGCCTTGGCCATTAGTTCAAAAAGGCTACCATCATAAACGCTCCTAACTGTGTCTTTGGGCAGCAAGCCATGTTCATCTTTGCAAAGGAGATACAACACCTTCCACTCTGATTTAGCAGCAATGCTGCACAATCCATCCAATTATTTTTATTTCTTTTCTTTAACTAAAAGGAAAAGAATAATTAGCCATAACTAATTAATAAAACTCTATTCTTGTTCTTGAGATAGAGAGGAGAGTATTACTGTCCAGCAAAGTCCTTCGGTTGCTTGTTTGCCTTGAGCAATTCATCTAACTCGCTGGCGGTTAAGGCATTGCCATTTGTTCGTGCATGCTTCTTGAATAACTCCTCAAATTTTTCAGGAACGAACCTTCAAAATGTGAAGATTCAAATAAAAATTCGATTTTTACACATGATTTAATTTATATATATAATTTTTATAGCATGTTGTTTTAACAACCTTATTTTCCAGGGAACCAGTTCTATACATATAGTTATCCTTTAAGTGACTAAATAGCATAAAAACTCTTTTACACTGGACTGTGTATGCAGATATAATGTACCACGATTAATGTTGAATAAATCATTAGACAATTCCAAGAACATCACACGTTCTGTACCTTCCTTCAGTGTCGTAGACATCACTATCACTGCCATGCTTGGCAAATTTGATGTTCTTCACTTCAATGGGAAACAGAGGAGAAGGCCATTTCCCCTGTACATAAACAGGCACATTAACTAATTAAGGGCGAGTCCATCGGTTTCTACAACTCATTTTTTTTCTTCTAAAACTAAAGTGTTCCTCATGAATCCACGTCTTGTGCTCATCAACATGTGCGAGCACTTATCATTTTATGTTCTCACTTGTTAAATGTAAATATACCCTTGCATTTATAACTAGCTGGAAGATATGAGAATTCCGAAATTGAAAAGACAAAAAATATAATATTAAAAAGCATGCACATCAAAATTACTGAAGAATCAAGCAGACCATGCAAAGTAAGCCATCAACAAAACAGTGACCAGAGTGATATGGAGTAAGAAAGTAATATGTCATTCACATCTGCTGATAGAAGCGCATCTGTGTGCATTACTTAGGAATGTAATAAAAAAAAAACAAAAATGGGGAAGATAGGCAAATGTTAACAACTTTTCAAGGTTTCGCCGTTTCGGCCTTCTTAAAATGTCACACACACGAGTCATGACACACAGCATAAACTTCCACATATATAGAAGTCATGTTGATGGCCCAATCTGATCTGGTATAAAAGAGGTCTAGTCAAGTTCACTTCATTTTTTGTCCAAATTAAAAGTCAGATAGACTTCTTGGGATCGGAGGTCTAGGCCACGTTTTTGGATCATGTAAAGTGTGTCCTGTCATACAAAAAATGTAGGGCTTCGGAATTATCTGCTCGTCCTTCCACCATGAAAGCGAGCACGGACTACACCATTAATTAACTTTCAAGTTTCAGTAGGGTGACAATTATTATGAATCCTGTATACGGTCGAAATAGATTTCGGCCTCCGTACGTTTGATCGAGTTCGAATGGTAAGCGATCGAAGTGAGAGCTCAAGACGATTTCCGAGGATAGTACAAACAAGCCTCGAGCTCTAAGACCGATCGAGGAATCGGCTCGATATCATTATCAACCCATGGCCAAATCGAACCGCAAGGCAAAGAGAAAGTTGTCGGAGATGCATAGACCGATTGGCACTCACACCGAATGTCGAACTCGAACTCAAGGCCGAGGGCTCGACCCAATACCGAGTTCGAGCCAGTGTCGAGCTCGCAGACATGAGCCGTTACAATCGCACTAGGGGAGAGAATCTTGGCAGGAATCGAGAAAGAGACAATTCATCATGGGTTGTCCACTATATATTTTTTATTATAAATAAAGTAAGATCTCTCTACTATAAAGGGGGAATCCTTGTAAGCACAAGAAGGTTGACACATTGTAAGAAAAGACTACTTCTATTTATTGAAGAATAAATCTCTTAAGCTTGTTTTACTCAGCATACTCACTCTTCTACTTCAATAATTTATATCCCATTTCTATAGCCAAGAATCTAAATATCTCCACTTCTGTGTACGATTTATGTCAAGCTATATCACATATCCTTAGAACTACTTATAAATTCAACTATATCCGATTTTCCAGGTAAACAGTTTGGCGCCCACCGTGGGGCTAAGGATAACAGTGGTTGTTTGATACAAATCCGCAATACGCACCAGTTTACAAATCCGAATCAGCAATGGCAAACTCTCGATTCATGGCTTTACCTATCGACCACGAAGCCGGCCTTCAGGATGAAACCAACAACTTGATACCCAGGGCCGGAAGGCCACTTAACGATGTCACTGAAGCTCGAATCGAAGTACCTGAAATCCGAGTTGAAGTACCACTAGATGTCAATTCACAAGTGGCTCTTGAGGCGAACCAACGGTCCGAACCGGAAAAAAGCATTCGGGGCGGTACTCGATCCGTAGCTCGAGACGCTCATAACGTGGAGGAGATCGGAGTCAGCTTACGGATGATCTTCAAGATGTTACAAGCCCAGCAAATAGCGATAGCTAAGTTGCAGAGCCAAACTCAGGTACAAAGCAGGCCGAAGCCCGATCCGCTTCGGGAAATCACCCATAGAACGGAGCCAGCCATAGTGAAGTCAAACGAGCAAGAATCGGGGACTACTCCCGAAATTACTAAATTGCTCGAGGAACTCACAAAACGAGTCGAAGCCAACGATAAAAAAATAGAAACATATAATTCCAGGGGTCGATCAGATCTCGGGAGCTCCACTAATGATAAAAGGGCTGGATTCGAAGAAATTCATACAAAAGCCTTTTCCCTCGAGTTGTTGGATGTTCATGATCCATGTCTACCATTTATATTTATCTTGTCGGCCCTTAAAGATAATAAGGAAGGTTAGATAAAATGTAAGTTGGTGCTCGGCATGTATGGACCGGGTGCTAGTCATGACCCTCCAGTTGGGTCCTGACAAAAAGCCACCATGTGACACAGCATTTCAAAATCATAAAATACGGGTCTCGGCCCACTTTCATATTTCCATCGCACCTCATGCCAATTTCTCTATCAAAACTGCACGGAAAACTCACGTGCCAAAACCAATCCCCAAAAAATTCCGTATGCCCGAAATTTCCAAATATAACAGTACGACCGATCCTAACGAACACGTCACCTCTTACACGTGTGCCATCAAGGGTAACGATTTGGAAGACGACGAGATCGAATCCGTGTTATTGAAAAAATTCGGAGAGACTCTCTCGAAGGGAGCGATGATTTGGTATCATAATTTGCCCCCAAATTCCATCGATTCTTTTAGCATGTTAGCGGATTCGTTTGTAAAGGCACATGCTGGTGCCATAAAGGTTGCAACAAGGAAATTGGACTTCTTCAAAGTAAAGCAAAGAGGCAATGAAATGCTGAGGGAGTTCGTGTCCCGATTTCAAATGGAATGCATGAAATTTTCACCGGTCACAGACGATTGGGCCGTCCAAGCTTTCACCCAAGATTTGAACGAGCAAAGTTCAATAGCATCACGTCGGTTGAAGCAAAATTTTATCGAGTATCCAGCAATAACTTGGGCGGATGTACACAACCGATACCAGTCAAAAATCAGGGTCGAAAACGACCAGTTGGGAGCTCCTCCCGGATCCATGCACCAGAACAGGGCAGCTATTAAAAACGAGAGGGATATCGACAGAGAACGAAGGTCGAACAGAGACCGATATCAACCGTACATCGCAGATCGAATGAACAACGGTTCAGCGCGCAATTCCGCTCGGAACAATCGAAGGAGTGATCGAGGACAAAATTCTTGGGGGCTTATGAGCAAGAGTGGGTTCGATAAATATGGCGATCCTATAAAGGCACCTCGGCTATCGGAGTACAATTTCAGCGTCGACGCATCGGGCATTGTATCGGCGATCGGAAGAATCAAAGATACTAGGTGGCCTAGACCCATGCAAACCGACCCTTCCCAAAGAAACCCGAATTCGATGTGCAAGTATCATGGCACGCATGGCCACAGGACCGAGGATTGCAGACAATTAAGAGAAGATGTAGCCCGCCTATTCGATGAGGGCCACCTTCGAGAGTTCCTCAGTGATCGAGCCAAGAATCACTTCAGAGAAAGGGACGCCAGCAAAAGGGATAAACAAGAGGAACATCTGCATATTATTCATATGATCATCAGTGGGGTCGATACTCCACAGGGACCCGTGCTCAAGTACGGCAAGATACCGGCCACAGGGGAAAAACGAACTCGAGGTTATGTACCAGAGGGCACTTTATTATTCGGAATTGAAGAAGCAGAGGGCATCTTTCAACCTCACAACGACGCTCTGGTAATTTCTATCCTATTAAATAAAGCTCAAGTTAAGCGTGTTTTAGTGGATCCAGGTAGCTCTGCGAATATCATCCGATCTTGGGTGGTGGAGCAGCTCGGTTTGCAGAATCAAGTCGTGCCCGCAGCTCGAGTCTTGAACGGTTTCAATATGGCCAGTGAAACGACCAAAGGGGAGATTACTCTACCAGTGAATGTAGTTGGAACCATCCAAAATACCAAATTCCACGTAATCGAAGGGGATATGAGGTACAATGCCCTACTCGGAAGACCTTGGATCCACAATATGAAGGCAGTGCCTTCGACCCTCCACCAAGTAATGAAATTCCCTACGTCGGACGGCGTGAAAACAGTATACGGGGAGCAACATGCTGCGAAGGAAATGTTTGCGGTCGATGAGGTAACATCGATACCAACGCTATCGGTCTCGGAAAGATCGAGCACTAAAGATAGACGAGAAACCAAATAGCAATCACAGCCACCAGTCTCAACCAAACTGGTGGAACAGGAAATAGAGGATGAGGAGGAAGAGTTTCTGACACCTCAAGCTTTCATCTTCCCCGACGACTCCGACGCCACCAAATCTACGATCGAAGAACTGGAGCAGGTTATATTAATCGAATATCTGCCCGAGAGAAAGGTATACTTGGGAACAGGATTGACCCCCGAACTCAGGGAAAAACTCATTCAATTTCTTATCGATAACATAAACTGTTTTGCTTGGTCCTATTTAGACATGGCAGGGATCCCACCGTCGATAACAACGCACCAGCTGAGCTTGGACCCTAGGTTCAAACCGGTGAAGCAAAAAAGAAGACCCCAGTCCGAGGTAAAACACGCATTTGTAAAGGATGGGGTAACTAAACTTCTCAAAATAGGGTCAATTCGGGAGGTAAAATATCCCGAGTGGTTAGCCAACGTAGTTGTAGTCCCTAAAAAGGGGAACAAACTTAGAATGTGCGTAGATTATAAAGATCTAAACAAAGCATGCCCCAAAGATTCTTTTCCACTGCCTAGCATCGATCGCATGATCGATGCCACAGCCGGCCACAAGATCCTTACTTTTCTCGACGCCTACTCCGGGTACAATCAAATTCGAATGAACCCGGAGGACCAGGAAAAGACTTCATTTATCACCAAGTACGGAACCTATTGCTATAATGTAATGCCATTCGGGCTAAAAAATGCAGGAGCTACTTACCAACGCCCAGTGAATAAAATGTTCGAAGAACAAATAGGTAAGTCGATGGAAGTTTACATTGATGACATGGTAGTTAAGTCCCTGCGCGCAGAGGACCATTTGACTCATTTGCAAGAAACATTCAAGATCTTAAGGAAATACAACATGAA